AATAAACACAGTAGGGAATAAGAATAACTTTTTTTCAATTTAATCTACAACATCTAGTACATACATAGTGTAATATACAGAAGTGTTTTTGTAGACAGATCATAAATTTTTTTTCATTCCTTCACGTTCTCGGTGGAACATATAGCTTCAAGGTAGAGACTTGAAGTTTCTGTCACAGTGGTGTTTACTTTTACAGGATGGGCTTGCTAGCCCCATGCCCAACCTTGTCCTCTATACCAGCTTTATTACTGACTTGGCGAGGTAAAGGAGTGAGTCGGTGGCCGGGGATCGAACCCCGGATCACATGGGGTACGGTCGGCGAACATTCTACCGTTATGCCACCGACGCACATGAATGACATATACGGTTGGCTTTTCTACCGTTGATAATGTGTAACTGCTTGTATACAATATAAAGATTAGTAGACTAGGGTTAACCGTATTAACAGTATATGTATTCGGTATTGTGAATTGTATTACACCAATCCCTATAAACGGTGCGTCGGTGGTATAGCGGTTAGCACGCTCGCCGACCATGCACATGGTCCGAGGTTCGATCCCAGGCCACTGACGCACTCCTTTACCTCGCTAAGCCAGAAATAATGCTGGTAAAGAGGAAAGGTTGGCCACGAGGCTAGCAACCCCATCCTGTCAAAATAAACACTGCTACCGAAACTTCAAGCTTCCAGGTTGTTCCACTGAGGAACGTGAAGGAAAAAATCACTATGAACGAAATCAATTTGAAAGAGGTCACTTCCTTTAATTATCTAAGGCAGAATCGTTTGAATTAAAAGCGACCGCATGGATGGGGATGTTAAAAACAGATTCGGAGAGGCAAGACACAGACAAACTTTCATCATTCTGAAATTAGTTTGGAAGTCTTCCTCACTTCAACACCTATGCCACGTGGAGGTCAGAAACTTGCACTGCGCGTCACAAGAAGCATTTCCATTTTTATCAACAGCTGACTACCCTGGCTCCATATTGAAGATGAAATCGCCAGAAAGAATTAGCAACAAGAAACTCTGGTATGCGGCGAACTAATCAAGAACCTATTGCTCAATAAATATGATGAAGAAAATGAAGATGGATTGGACACACATTGAGGAGACCGTTGAATGATATCTTACTCCAGGCCATTGCTCGAGTGGAACCTGAATGGGAAATGAAGGCTGGGATGTTCGAGGCAAACATGAAAGAGATTGTGTAAGGAGAAGACGGGAGATTATGGACAATCATAGGGCCAGCTAAAGGGGACTTCAGAAAACTAGACAAAGTGGAGATGTTCTTTTGAAGCCCTATTCCACTCGGAACCTAAGGCAACAATATTACAATAATAACTAAACATGTCACAATATGGAAAGTTTTATAAAATGGAAACAGTCATGACGAGTAAGTATAGAATCTTTTTAGTATCTTATTATTATTATCATATGATTCATTTTTTTGTATTCTGCGTGGAACATAGGGTCTCATATACACATCCCTAATGCATTCAGTTCTTGGAAATCACCTTTAACTAGCTTCACAAATGTCGACAAAACTTCCAAATCCTCTTCACATGATTTCTTTCTACCGACCCGTCGCATCCTCGTTGAATTCTACTCCAGAGCATGACGTGTGATGCTACTTGAAGATTCCAGCGGTGTACCTCCAATCCATCTAGACTTGTTTTCGCTTATTAAGTGGGTGATAAGTTCTTGACTGGTTGATTACCGGAGATTCTTGTTGGTTATCCTTTCGTGTCACCTGACTACTACTAGTATCATGGTGTCGGAGAAGACTGGTCCGCAGTGCGTGAGGGTTTCTGATGCTTCAAAATTCATTCTGATCTTATGGTTTTGAACTTAGGGGTGCGTTGGTGGTTCAGTGGTGGTAAATTACTCGCCAACCATACACGTGGTCCACCGTTCGATCCCTAGCCGAGTCGCACTCTTCCAAGCCTCACTTGGCCGGTAATAAGCTCGGTAAAGAGTGAAGGTTTGGGCATGAGGCTAGCAATCTCACCCCGTAAAAAATAAACCCCACTGCTATTGAAACTTGAAAAACTCAGGCTTGAAGCCCTATATCCCAGTCGGAACGCAAAATAAAACAGAATAATAAATGACAGTAATTTTTATTTTCGTGTTTCCTTTCAATTAAGATCTGGAGACTAAGTAGCTCCATCAGTCCTCGCATAATAAGTGTGTCACATATTCCAGTGTGCCTGAAAAATCACTTCTAGGCTATCTACATTTTAAAAATGTAACTACGATAACAGATAACTAAATGATAAAAATTTAAAAATGATGTATTTGAATCTGTGAAACACCGAATGCTTATAGGCAATTTCAGCTTAATAAATATATTCAGCTTTTTCTGTGTAGCATTGATTATGTTATGTTAAAATGATCCTTCTTTTCCTGCCTACAGATACATTTCTTTTTGCAGTAAGTTCGTTCGTTCGTTAGTTAATTAGTTAGTTAAAAATATGAAACCTCAAAGAATAATAAACAATTATTAACATTTTAAATGAAAAAATATACACGCATCATCAACTTGCAATACAAAGAAGAAAAAGAAGAAGAAGAAGAATGATACTGTCCCATACACATGCATACATTAAAATATGTCCGAATTCTAATTCACTCACTTATTATCCTAACGGGTTGAATAACGTGGCAATATGACTTCTACTGTGTTAGCCATTTCGCCTGCCTAATGATATAGACTTTTTTTTGGGCAATTGGGTTATGTGGATCGGATTCCTTTTTATGTAAATCAAGCTAAAGTAGACAGAGTGGTTGAAAGTCAAGTATAAAATTAAGCCAATGGAGCCACACTTTCACACTAATTTAACTTTGTTCAATGATATGACACTAAATCTCATAAAATAAATTTTACTATTGAGAAAGAAAAAGACTCTAGTATTCCATTTTTAGACGTCTTTATGACCAGAAAAGAGGATGGTGCAATAAGAAGAAGTGTTTATAGAAAACCTTCATCAAAGGGCCAGTACACACATTTTCTCAGTTTTGTGCCCTTGAAATATAAACGCAATTTGATAAAGTGCCTGGTTCACAGAGCAACAGTGATTTGCTCGGACGAATGTCTTGATGAATAACTGGATAATATTAAACGGTTGCTAAGTGAGAATGTTTATCCTGAAAAGTTTATTGATAACAATATGAATTTGAAACCAAAGCAGCCCAAGTTACCAACAGTTCCAAAAAAGGCCTTATTCTTACAGATGCAGTTCCTTGGGGATAACACTAGCGAGATACCAACACATCGCATTAGAAATGCGGTAAAATGAGCATTCCCTGCTGCTGAATTACGTTGTATCTTTAAGACCACTCCTCTTCTGCGTTCGGGAGTAAAAGACAAACTGCTTAATTTCGCCTCATCCATGTGTATCTACCAATTTAACTGCTCCTGTGGAGTGAGCCAGTTACATACGCCGCACAATTAGGCGTGTTTCTCGAAGGAATTTCTGAACATCACCCTGCATGGTTAAGCACAGATCAAACAAAATCCATTCATAGTGCTATTCTGTCTCATCTTGTGGAGACAGAACACAAGATTGACGTCAACCATGGTTTCAGGGTCATTTACCGCATACCTACGAATCTCAATTTTGCCTTAAGATTTCGACTACTAAATATTGCTGAAGCTGTGGGGATCCATATTAACAAGCCTAATTTATGCATCCAAAAGAAGTTAGTTAAGACATTATCATTACATTGGCCATCCAGGTTTGAATAATCCTGAATTTTTTGTGGAATTTCCCTAATTTTAGTTGATATTCTATTCGCTATTATATCTTTATTACTATTATAATTTAAGTATCTTTAGTGAACTGTAATTCCATTTATCATACTTTACAAATCGACATTATTCAGAAAACACCCATATTGTTATTAACTACTAATCTGGAATATTCTATGTATATAAACATATTCATATAATTGTAGAGCCGGAAGAGGAATTTATCGAAAAGGATATTCTTTACTCGATTATTTTGTGTTTTATAGATGTCTGAATGAATATTTTTGCTATACAATAAAATTCACAAAAAAGAACACGAATAGATAGAAAATCAAGCTGACAGAAAGATAATTGCGTTAAGTAGTACCAAAGTGTACGTCAAAACTAAATCAATGCTTTTCTAAACCTATATATGTCTTCTATGTCTAGTACTGAGGAGACGAGCGAGTGACGTCAAACACAAGGTCGTCGGGTGGAACCCTAATGGTAAGTGACGAGTTAGATAGACGTGACTCCAGGGTGACACGGAGAAGATCACCTGAAGATTTTAAATGAGAGCTTCTGGGCAATCATGGAGCCACCTTAAAAACACAGCAGAGTATATGGTTAAGTAAAAATGTCCTACTGAAGCTTTATGTTCCACTCAGGATCCAAGGGATGAATAATAATAACAATAAATAATTTTAGCGCCTACTCCAAATTGAGTAGTGTCATTCACTTTCATCGGTCAATTGAATTCTAGTCGACCAGTATCAATTTATGACTAATATGTGCGACACTCAGAAATAACTTGCACATCTATGCAATAGACAATAAACCGTATATAGTGTCTGAATTGTAATGAAACTACCCAACTGCCCAAATCTCATTGAATGAAGCAAGATTTGAACCTGTCACTTAGTGGTTGAAAGTCAAGCGCTTGGATCAATGAGCCAGGGCTTCAAATTAATGCGTACAAATACAGCTTTTCTTTACTCCTTGCGTTCCAAATGGGATATATGGCTTCAAACTCCGAATTCTCAGTAGTGATAGTGTTGACTTTCTTAGGGGAGATGATCGCTAGCCCCTCACTCCTAAGCTTTCCTTTTTTCCTCGTTTACTATCGATTAGGTGAAATTTAAGGGGGCGTCGGCTGAGAGTTTAACCTGAACTTACCTGTGTGGGTGGTGAGCATTCTACTACTGGGAGCAACGATGCACACAAATAAAGAGGAGGGGAAAAAATGAAATACAAAAAAAAGTGTAACTAACATACCTGATTAATTTTAATATTGGAGAAATTTTGACTCAGATTCGACAATTGATCACTATTAGATAACGGTGGAGAAGAAAATGCCGTAGTAGTAGCAATCGTAGTGTTAGGATAATATCTGTTATCCTGATCACTACTAATTAGCTGATTATTTCTTGATGGTACATATCCGAATGCTTTAGATGTACCATTTTTATTATTATTGGATAAATAATTGTTGATACGATTAGGACTATGCTGTAGGAGTGAAAAAGGAAAGAAATATGTATAAAAGAAAAGCAATATTAAATCAACCAGACGGATACAATTGAATACGAACTAACTTCAGTTAGAGGTCAAGTTAAACTTTAAGCACCACTACTGACTACCAATCAGCGAATGACCTTGGATGGTCCAATAGGTTTCATCCATGTGGCTCTATTTCGCTTGATTCAAGCCAAATGTCATGGAAGGTAAGCTGATGATTCTAATATTTCGTAGGAACATTTTTGGCCAGGTCCTACTGGTTCTTAATCCAGATTTTGTATATTTGTGGCTACTAGGTTTTCAAACAGCCTGTAACAAGTGTAGCTGATGAAACAGAGGAAGTAATCTCCTATCAACAGTTCAGTGGTACCAGCACTGTAGAGATATCGCGTCATGGGAGGAGAAGGTGCCATCCTACACGTGAATTAGTGGGAAGGTTATAACTACCTGTCATCCCTTGACCATATTCAACACAGAGTGAACCATTCTAATGATTTCGTGGATCCCATTGCAGGGAAAATCATCAGTTCTACAGAAGGCCTTTGGGGGAGATTAAAAACAGGATTAGAGCCAATAATGGATCTCAAAAGTATGCCACTTAGATGAATCTATGTATAGAATGTGGTGCGACTTCCTAATTGATACTCCCATGCGCAACTGAGAGGTGTTTTTACCACATGTCAGAGAAAGGTATTCTATGAAACATTTTTGTACATTTTCCCCATAAATATATGTTTTCCATAACCGAAAATGCCTCCTTCCTGCGATTTGTGCGCTCAAGGTCATTCGCTGATTGATAGTTGGTGCTGCTTAAAGTTTAAATTCGCCCAGTTAGAGACCTGTTGAAAACAAGGGAGAATTGAATATCTGTTTGCGACTCTTCAGCACTATGCACTCATGACCTCATCAGAGACCGAACGCAGGACCTTTAGGTTACACGGCGGAGTTTGTATATCACGAAACCATTTGGGCTGGAATCCAATAACTGTTGAATCATAACTTCTGTCAATCAGCGACATATAGGGCGATAGCCTGTCAATGTTATCAGCGAGTAATAGTCGTTACACTCAACTTAGCGGACCCAACCCCCCCCCCATTAGTCATAACTTCTCACACACTAGAACGAACTTCAGAGAACTTCATCCAGTAGACAGTCACTAATGAGCACTAGATTTAATTTTCAAGTCCTCATTTGATAATCAATCTTGAAATCAATCAAATCCTCGAAAACTTAAGCTTTTCCTTTTTTTAACAAACTCCTAATCGACATTTAAAAATAAGTGTTATGCCAGTCACTGACTAATACTGGGAAAAATTGAAATTCGCACAACTTTGGTTAGAGGGAAAAACAAAGAGTACGACATGTTCTGATGATTTTATAGCGATGCAAGTCTGTGTTTCCTTACGAATTGAGGTGTTCACTTACGAATAAAAAAAAGATGACATTTAGATTCGTGTCAAAAGTTCAGTGTATAAAAGTGCAACCTCATGGAGTAAGGCTTATTATACCGTTATACTTTTGAGTTATTGTGCTCAAATATCATCAACAACTTGGATGTCTGCTTCAGTTTGAATGAAAATGTACACAGACAGAAAACCACACTCTACGTTCAAAATAGTCTTCATATGACTAAAAAAGACTTCAAAACTTCGACACATTTTTACTACGCTTTAAGGCTTGTTTGGTTTGCGCTGAAATACCTACTTTTGACGACTATTGAATCTACACTTCTGCTCATTTAAACTCTTACAACACACAGTAGGGTACATGATAGAATACCCTTTGCTTAAATTAGACTAGAGGAAAAAAAGACAACATGCATAGACTTCGTGGTTAAGTCTAGTGAACATTTTTCATAACTTAGTCTTATATGTATACAACATAGTTTGATTTAACTATAAAATGTTAGAGGGTGGTCATTTACATATAACCTTGTCTATCTAGGCATATTTAGTTATTACTTACATATAGATAGGTATAATACAAGACACCGCTATCCTTTTACTAGAGATGTAACTCATCAGTCTAGGTGTCTGACTTCCAGACTACTTGGTCATGGATTCGAACTCCGGCTTCATATACCAAGGCTTAGGTAACCAAATAGTATGGTTGCCCGTTACGCAACAAGTGTAGCTTAAAGTCAACTGAATAGAAAATGTAAATCTTTGTTGAGTAAAGTCTCTCTTTATAATGATCTTAGTAAAACAATTTGGTACTTTCACTAGTAACAATATAGTCACCTATCACAATAGTTATTCAGAGCTCTGAAAATATAAAGTTGATGCATTAATAAGTTCGAAGTGTAGGCCTTCTGACTTGCAGATTTTAACGCATGTTTTTTTTTTTGCTTTTTCTACTATATGAACTACAGTTAATATGATTTTATATACGCGTCTGTGTTTTATGAATCTATGTGCCTGAATTCTTTCCATTAGGTTTCTGACCTGAACTGTGATTTAAATGAAAACGTTTTAGCAGCTGGATGATGGTGTAAAGACTTATTAGATATGCTCACTTACCTCACAAGACTTATTTAGTCGTAGATTAGTAAATGTAGTGTCATAAAAAAACTTTATGGGCTGCTATGCCTTAATTTTTCAACTTTACTGTTAATCGCTATTTTCATGTTCTCAGAAAAAGATATTGAAATGAGCAAACACAAAAATGAACATGCACAGAAAAATAAGCGTCGGTAGCACAGCGGTTAGGATGCTCGCCTACCATGCACATGGTCCAGGGTTCGATTCCCGGCTACTGGACGCACTCCTTTACCTCGCTAAGCTAGAAATAATGCTGGTAAAGAGGAAAGGTTGGGCATGAGGCTAGCAACCCCATCCTGTAAAAATAAAACACTGCTATAGAAACTTCAAGCCACTAGCTTGAGGCCCTGTGTTCCACTGGGAACTTGAAGGAAAAAAACAAAAACAAAAATCACAATATACGCTGCATCACACACTACTTACTGAGAATATAAGCACATATAAAACTTTTATCAACAGCTGCCTTCACTAGCTCTACACTGAACATCAGATGGCACGGACAGAAATGAACAGCAGCAAGGAACTCAGAGAACAAACCAACCAACAAACTATCACTCAACAAATGTAACGAAGAAAATAGATGCTGTTCAGACACACACTGAAGAGACTTATGGATAACATCATATTCCGGGTCATTCCTTGGAAACGGCGAGTTGGGCGTCTGGGGGTGACATGGAGGAGATAGTGTGAGGGAGAGATGAGGGCTAATGGGCAATCACGAAGCCAACTAAAGAGAATGGCAGAGAATAACATTAAATGGAGATGTGCTATCGAAGCCTTATGTTCCACTAGGAACCTAAGGGAACAATAATAAGGAACATTGAACTATTTAAATCAATAATTTATATACCACTTTATTTATTCACTTATTAGGCCATAAGAAATTGCCTTAAGTGAAGATAAAAATCTAACCCATTAAACCTTAAAGAGTCTAGTAAGTGTGAAAAGCATGAATTTCAATAAACCATAATGTGAGTGTAATTTATAATTCATAGGCCATTGGATCGGGTTCCAGTAGCTCAATGGTCTTCGAGATAACTCGTCTTGTAACCAGAAGGTCCTGGGTTCGAACCCTACAGGCATACTGATGAAGAGTCCCAAACTAGGGCGAAACAGCTGTTCAGTACTTCCACGTTTTCCAATGGTGTCAGCTCATGATGAAATCCTCTAACCAATGCAATTTATGCGAATTTTGTACAATGTACAACGTTTGTTTTGCTGGTTTTTTTAAATGTCCCATCATAGAATCAGCTTTTTACTGTGAGGTTTTATTTTGAACTAACGCTACCTCTCTCTTAATATCAGTAAAAAGAAAAAGTTTGAGCATTGTGGAATAGATCAAATAAATTATATAATTGTATTTCAATAGATTTTTGGTAATATTTCGAGCAAAATTTACTATCGGTGATCACACAGCAACTGTTGGAATTGTTTTGTTCTAAAATACCTCTCTCTCTCTCTCTCTCTCTCTGCGTTCCTTACAACACATGCATCTATCTATTACTGATTAGAAGGAAGTAAATACTTCTGCATATTTTAAAAAAGGAGAATTCTGTTGTTGTTTTTTAATCTCCTCTTTCTTCAAAAAAATGTAGCGCCAAAATTTTGTTTGAATTAAAGTGTTCAATGGAAAAGTGAATACTATTTATCCTATTTTATCCAAACCGAAATGGGTGGACTTGGAATGAATGAATGAATGAATAAGTGAATGAACTTATGACCTTATAATTATTGGTAGGTAAAATAAACATCTAAACTATTGACTATTGACTGTTTCATCTAACAGTTGGTATAGTATTATTATTATTATAATTATTAATAGTAGTATTAAACAATACTGTCAGTATACAGGTATGAATAAGAAAAATATAACAACAAAGGAGGAGAAGGAGGGGAAGAAGAATAAGGCGAAGAATGTTGTGCTTATTTTTTTCAGTCAAAACAATTTTCTAATGAAATCAATTCAGAAAAAATTTAAATAAAAATGTTAAAATAGACGAAAACAAGCTGTGCAGACAATGTAACATGTAAAATAGTTAAAGAAAAAAAAAACTAATATTAGATTTCTTAAAAAAATTAAGATGGACAGATAGGCGGGGAATTTGGAAAAATATGATGAACACAGAAATATAACTACACCATCTTAGATTTCTGTTTATTTCATCTTTTCACAGTTGAATCTCTTGACAAGATAATCGCGCATTGGCTTTAGGCTTTCGTCGGGGTGTATCAGTGATTCAAGTGTTGGTTTATAGGGATTTGATTGGTTACAGGACTTCATCATGAGCTGACATTGGTTAGAGAACCCATAGGAAAACCTGGGAGTACTCGACAGCTGTTTCGTCAGCCGAGTTTTCGACTTTTCATCAGCACGCATCCACCGTAGTTCGAACCCAGGACGTTCTGGTTACAAGGCGAACTAGCTCGTAGACCATTAAGCCACTGGGACCCGATCCAATGGCCAGCACATGAATTCTAACTTCGGCCAATTCACGACATAGCGCGACCACTAGCCAATGTCTTCGGCAAGTATTTGTCCTCACACCCCCGACCTGCTACACCCTACTGGTCATGACTTCTCACTAGAACTCCAGGTAACTACCTACCTGAATAGGACAAGTCGATTATTACCAATCAGCGTTTATTACCGCCCAGCTGCCTACACTGTGAAGGTTGGTTTCAACTCTTAAATGCGTGAAACAGAAAGACCAGACAACACACAGGAAAACTGCTTGAGACCAATCACATACACGGCCTGTTTGAAATGGTTTTTGGAGTGAAGTTAAAATATCATAGCCAAAGTCAGGGCTTGTCAAGGGCTGAACCTGGAGGACCAATCAGATTTAGAGGGTGTTAAGGAAGGGATGATCGCTTATATTGATGAAAAAGTCCTCATAAAGAAGAATTATAATAGGGGAGCGAGGAAGGCTAATCATTTCACTACGTAAAGGTTTTGTGGAAACAATACCCAACAGAAGGGCTAGATTATTGTTTCCAGTTATTCAGTGCTTCGCAATGCCATAAACGACCAGATACACTGACGAATGGAGGATATATCACCAATTGTCACCTTTGGATTATATTCACCATAATTTCAACCATTTCTCCGACCTTATAGATCTAATAACAGGCACAGATACTAATTCTACCGAAGGAATGTGGGGAAGTTGAAGAAAACAATCAGGAACGTCAACGGATCCCAAAGTACCACGATTTACAGCCACCTCAATGAATACATATATCAGGTATGATACGATTTCTCTGGGGATTACCCTTGCAGAAACTGGAAGACGTTTTTACAATACATTAGAGACCATTATCCAGCTTTAAATAATATTTGCAGCGTTTTTAATACATTTTCTAACAAGATAATGCAACTTTTTAGTATTTGAGCTCTGATTGGTTTTTCAAGATCACTGGGATATTGGCTATGATAGTTTAATTTGCCATTTTCAGAATTGTGTCTATATGCAAATCTTAATGACGGCTACAGACCACTGCAAGGTAAGCTGAGAGGATCAATTTCTTGGGATCGATCTTTTCTGATTTCCCATCTTCTCAATGCGGAAGGGAATTATACTTGTCTTGCTGGGTGCGTCTGAGGAAAGCACATGTTTGATATTTAAGCGTTGGTTTGTAGGGATTAGGTTGGTTACACGATCTCATCATGAGCAGACATTTGTTAGAGAACCATTGGAAAACCTGAGAGTACTGGACAGCAGTTTCATCAGCCGAGTTTTGGACTCTTCATTAGCACGCACCCACCACGGTTTGAGCCCAGCACCTCTGGTTACATGGCAAGCTAGCTCGTATACCATTAAGCCACTGGGACCCGATCCAATGGCCAGCACATGAATTCTAACTTCAGCCAATTTACGAAATATTGCGACTCCTAGCCAACGTCTTCGGCAAGTATTTGTCCTCACACCCGACCTGCTGCACCCCTACAGATAACGACTTCGCACTCGAACCTGAATAGGGCAAGTCGCTAGTGAGCATCTCATCGATATTTAAGTGTTGGTTTGTAGGGATTTGATTGGTTATAGGCTACATCTATTTGAGTTACTCACATTATAGTGGTAACTACCTCTGATCTAACCACCATCCAAACAACTTTTTTAGGGGAGGGGATTGTAGAAGATGAAGAAACATTCGCTGAGTCCATGTGATATGCAAGTCTGACCACCATGTTAAGGTAGAAGTTATCCAGCCGAGTAACTTTAGCCTCTAAGTAGACACTTTCGGCTCGTTGCCAAATACATAATTATGTAGACATTATCTGAGTGATGTTATTTAGGGTGGGGGGGGGGGGTGGGGAGGCAGTAAAAACAGAAATCTGTAACGATAAAACAAGAAATAGATTAAAGATAAAATAGAATTCTTTAAAAAGAAACACAACTTGGTTATTAACATCAAGTTAAACTCCACCACCACAAACCGACCAACAAGCCCATTACAATTCATTCACAGTTACTGGGATGCAACCAAATAACACAGTCTATGAATTCTAACTTCTTCCAATTCGCTATATATTATTATTTACACAATCAATACACTATCCAGTGTGAATACATTTCGATGAGATTTATCATGTATGCAATTGTTTTGGCTGTACAGTTAATGATTTAGTTAGTTTAAATATAGAATTTTAACATTCAATAATAATAATAATAATTTTGCAACATATTAATACTGTTCGATGTGTTCACATGATTCGTGAACAGTGAAACCTATGGGCAGTTAAAAAAAATCATAACCTGAAAAGTAAAAATGTCAGGTCAAGCAAACTATCGAATGAAAAAAAAGGCCTTAAAAAAACAAGAGAGAGAGAGAGAAAAAAACACAGTCTATATCAAAAATGCCACGAGATGAATTTATCATTATTATTATTGGTAGTATTAGTAGTATTACTGCTACGTATGCAACATGTTGGATAGTATTCGTGTGTGTATATTCCACCTTTATTTTGTAATCAGTTAGTTCATAAATGATGATTTGAATATATATATATATATATATAGGCTAAAGGAAAGTTTAATTTTAGCTAAGGTTATCAGTCTTATTATTTTACGTAACATTCAATGAACTAGTTTTCATATTCATTTTTATTATAGTAATCATCAACCCTTACACAGTAAGAGTGTGTGTGATTCATCAAAGCATGATGTGTATATATGAAGAGTCTTTGTTGGAGGGGTGGGTGGGGGGTTACATGAACTTTAACTGTTGATACTTAGTAGGGATATTTGTGGCTTGTTTTTAGACTTATACTGATATTATAATTAACGCAAAGTGGAATTTGGAACAAAACTTAGTTCATCAAACATAACCACAACTGGCGTGGAATCATTCTGTTATCCATGCCAAGAAAAATAGTAAGTTGCATCATCCTGAAGAGAAATATAGGATGCAATGGATGCAGAATTCCTCCATCTTTCCGGGACAAGCCAGATTCAGGAAAGGCGGATCATGTGTTTAGCAAATTGCAACTCAACGAATCATCATAAAACAGAGCATAGAATGATAGTCGAATCTCTATCACAAATTCATCGATTCTGAAAAGGCCTTCGATAACACTGACAGTTAAATAACTTGGGAACTACTTCAAAACTATGATGTGCCCCTAAATCCTTGTCAACTTTATTCAATAGCTGGTTAAATAACAACATCGTGTCAGGTGATCTGTAACGGAAAACTCAGCAAAGCCCTTGAAATGAATACCGACGATCACGGATGATATTCCAAATTATGTTGAACTAGACTACATGGAAGACCGTAGAAGCACGAAGACGGGAATGCATTGTAGCAATGAGAAGACTAAAAGATCTGGACTTCAAAGGCGATTAGTGTCTAATGTCATATAAACTCAAGGACGTATAGGCGAGAACAATCAAATTGGTAGAAGAAGGAGCAAAGACAGGATTTCAAGTGGACATATAGAGAAGACAAAGGTGATGAAAATAATTAACCGACAAAAACAAGTACCAATCACCTTCAACGGGAGAAATTTGAAAGACATCACTTCCTTCACTTATCTAGGCAATAACAAGGAACACTGTGAACGAACCAATCAACAACCTATTGCTAAACAAATATCAAAGAAGAAAATCGAGATGGATCAGACACATGCTGAGGAGACCACCGAATAACACTGAGCCCAAGGGAGGTTCTCAGATGAAACCCGAGTGGGAAACGATGAGTTGAGCATCTGGGAGTGACATGGAAGAGACCATGTGAGGAGGAAATGAAAGCGTGTAGTCAATTGTGGCACCAGATGAAGAGAAATGCTAGGAACGGGGTGAAATGAATATGCGACCTTGAAGCCGCATATTAAATTCTTCTCGGAAGTCGAGGGAACAATAGTCATATAATAATAAAAGTCGAAAATAAGTCAGTGGTAAAATGAATACTGGTCAGCCAGGTAAGTAGTCTGGAATTCAACACCCGACCAACACACTAATTTACTAGCCGATAGTAAGTTCAGAAAAGAGTGAGTGTGAGACTAGTGACTTCACCCCCATAAAAACAACACTATACTACTGAAAGCTTATATTTATTTTTATATTTTGATTATGTCTTGAGACCACATAGTATTTTTGGTACAAGTATGGAACTTTCAGCATGTGATATCGGTAGCCCAAATTTTGCAGAGCGACCATTGATACGGGTATGTGTCGGCAAGGGATCGTACCCCGGACCATGTGCATGGTCGGCGAGCGTCTTAACCGCTGCGCCACTCGGAAAGCAATGAATGAAACAGGAAGTCGAAAGTTCCAAAAATGACACTTTTTGACTATTTTCAATAACTAACACATTTTACACCACTTTTATACAATAGTGATAATAAGTCACTTGACATAATTATCACAAAAATGGTAATAATAATAATAAATAATGTTCTAATTGCGCATATATAATTAATTAACACATTCATGCTTTAAAACATACCTGATTTGCATTTCCATATTGTGAATGTGCATATAACTTAGGCAATTGACCCATTGGAGGTGCATCTAATTCATAATTATACATTTCTCTTAATGAACCACTACTAGTTATCTGTGGTTCATTATGATTATACCTTGTAGATGATGATAATGATGGTGATAAATATTTTGATGCATTTCCATTATGTGGAGCATCACCAGTCCCACCACTACTTGTAGGATGACGCCAAAATTGATTCACCTCAGGAGATGGACCAGCATCAGCACCTGAAGCTGTCAGTCGAGGTGTTGACCGCCAACCAGGTGGATGTTCATAATGAATTAAATATTGACACATATGCGTGTAAGTATCACCTTCAGCTGGTTCATTCGCGTAAACCTCCAATCCATATTCACCTAATTAAAAAAAATATGAAAATAACATCAACAGCAATAATAATAATAATAACTTTTCAGGATTGATGACGGATTGATATCCGTTAGAGAGTCATTAAAAACTAGGTAGTATTGGACAGCTGTTTCGCCCTAGTTTGGGACCCACCGGCAGGATGCACCCGATGGGACTCGAACCCAGGACCAACTAACTAACTCTTGAAAAGTAATCTGATGTTCGATAGTGACTGATTACAGGATGAAGTTGCCTGAAATTCTAGTGGGAAGTCGCGACCAATGGGATCTATCCAGTCAGGAGTGATGATAAATACTTGACGATAATCTTAGCTGGTGGTCGCGCTAAAATCACGAATTGGTAGAAGTTAGAAGTGATGGGCCAGTGAGTTAGGTCCTAGTGGCTGAATGGTCTACGAGCTTGACTGTTTTTTTCTCTTTCTTTTACTGATTAAATGGAAAATCGGTACAGCTGATAAAAGAGTTTAGGATTAAGATAAGTGTGTTCCGACTGACTTCGGACATAAGTGCACCGGTTTGAGTTGCCACACTCTATGCAGCACACAAAAGAAGATAAAAGAGAGGAAAAGAGATTCAAAAGAACGATAAGAAGCAGAAAATTGTGAACGAGAAAGAATAGTAACAACAAGGAGTGACTATATCTGAGCCATTGAGAACGATTTCGAACCATATCATCAATTGTCTCCAGTCGTCATTGGTTCTTAGAATCACGAGTACCTCAATCGAAAAGCCTACAACTCCCTTCGTGGCTTAAACTAATTGCCAAAGATTTCATTGACTGATGATGAAGCTATGTTTCGGTTTGACCATCACTAGCTCTTTTCCAATCTGATCTTATGTCAGGTAACATTGCTCATCGACGAAGGTGGTGGCTCCACATGCGCAATACGTGTACTAGCCGTCCCAATCGATTCACCTTCATGACCTCATCGGTCAACTTACCCTGCTTACCTAACACATTCGATGCCTAACCTCAATATTACTACTTACCGTATCATACCACCCAACACGGGAGATGGAACGTAGACACCTATGATAATGGTTTAAACCTCACCTACTTTGCTTTTAATATTCAATGTTTCTGAATGATATAATGTGATGATTTACGATGTATACTACGAAACGATAAAACTACTAAGACACTACTCATATAGCAGTTAGTTACTCATATACTAATAATCCTGATGTACAAAAATTGTTTGGTTCAATCTAAGAATGACATTATATCATACTGTATAAGGGCTTGTACATCTCTCACACGGATAAACTGTTCAAACTATGCTGTTTCTGAATGAAGTCTATAGGTAGCATTTTTAAATTCGAAATAGAAATCACCATACACCTCTCATTGTTAAAATATGTTTCATAGAGGAAGAAATAAGCATTTTAATATACAAAACAAAACAAAAACAATTAAAACTGCAATACAGTGAAATTCTAAACAAACAACATCCATATGCATTAACATCATCACAGTTAAAAGACAATGTTACCTAATTATTATTAATTTTTTTTAAAAAGAGAATTAACCATATTAAGTTATAGCGTCCGTTAATTAGCGTTACGAGTTGCGTACAGTTTTAGCTATACATGAGACTGAAAATTTCTCTTATGACTGACCGACTGGTTTCAACATAGAACTTTGCACAAATGTGTAGCAGTTCGAGTCACTACACTCCATGTAGCACACAAAGCAAGGGAAGAAAGTAAAAAGAAATGCAAAACAGAGACAGTAAACACAGATACGCGGCAAGCAAAATAGTAATATGGAACAATATAGTTTCATTGGAAATCATAAGTCACAAGGAGTGGATGCATCTGCGCTCAGCATTGAGAACGATTTTGAGCCATATCACCAATTGTTTCCAGCCTTCATTGGTTTTTACCATCTCGAGGACCCCAACCAGGAAGTCTACACCTTCCTACGTGGCTGGCATAAACTAACTGTTGTGAATTTCATTGACTGGTGCCATGTTTTGGTTTGACCGCCACTAGCTCTTTTCCAGCCTGACCCTATGTCAGCTAACATTTCCCGTCGAGGAAGGCGATGACTAGGCATACATAACACACGTCCTAACCATCTTAGTCGATGTAGCTTCACAGCCTCGTCGATTGACTTCCCGTCTTTACCTATAACTCCACGCCTGACCTCAATATCGCTCACCCTATTATACCAGTTAAAACGAGAGATAGAATGCAGACACCTATGATCAAAGACTACTAGCCAGGCTTTTCGTATCTTCCACATCTCACCCACAGTCTTAAAGGAGGACAGAGCGAACTGCTGAACAGTACACATATCCTTTGGTAGACAGCCGGATATCACATCTACTAAGCTAGAGATGGCGTAAGCTGGCATATGCCAAACGAGCCTTTTGTATCTGTAACGAGATCTCGTAAGCGATCACAACCCGTTGAGGCTGATGCATGCAACTCCCCAAATAAGTGAAGTGGTCAACGCGATCTACCACTTCACTTCCTATTTTTAAGCTGTTATGAAGAAGAAATGATCAGAAGCTTGATAAGCATCTGTGTAGGTCGATAGTGCAAAAGTAGTCAACCTTAGCTGATTGTATCTATTATCCTTTTTCTTCATCATCATCTTCGACACGTCCTTCCAGGAAGGACACACGGTCATTGGAAGGATTAAGACATATTAAACAGAAACAATAATCATCATAAACTTTTATTCACACAGAGGAAATATTGGTTGCTAGAATGAATTCGTCAAGTCGATAAGGCGCCTTAGGTAAATTACATTCTAAAGAACGCGACCAACAAATAAATGAAAGTGAACACAGTTTTCATCTGGCTTTAACTTGATACTTCTCAAAATTACAATAGTTATTCGTATATTACTAGTAAAAATGCATTCTAATACATTCGTAAAAGATCTGTTTTCAAGTTCAGGTACGTCACAGATGAATTAGTTCATTCTTAAGTAATTATTATATAACACATTACTAATTAGGCACAAAAATCAAGAGAAGAGAAGCACCTCAAATCGCAGTTTACTAAAACCAAATATAGTTGATAGATGACAACTGGCAATGCAATTCAAGATATGTATTCCGTCCCATTTGGGACTCACCAGTTGGATGTACTTACCCACCCCCCAGTGAGTGATGAGGTATCAAATATTATTTGTTTAAGTTTACCCTGTATTTCCCCTTAACACCCATTGTACAAACGAAGGCTCCACTGGCCTAGTGAATAATGCTTTGGTGTTTGAAACGATAGACACAGAGGTCAAGTCTAAGTGGGAACACAATTAATCAATTGAAATACAAGTACATCCAGATGACGAGTTCCACAGTCCACTCCTAGTCAAAATCTACCACATAATATCTCATATTAACCGTCAAATATCATCAAACCGTCTATAACCAGGAGGCAATCCGTCAACAGAGACTGAGCGTTTCTGTCCAATGGAATTAACCTAAAACTGAGCATAGTTGATGCATAGTTTGAATACTGTTATTATAACTGCCAAAAGAACTCAACATATCTTGGTTACTAAATAATCAACAAATGGAATCCACGATATAGAGAAGGTGATATTTTAACCTAAATAACATTTGTTCAAGTTAATCATATTAAGAATTCTACTTATCTTTGAAACGCTTTTCATTATCATTTTTTTATTCCTTTACTTTCCCAGTGGAAAATACGGCGCCTTCAAGCTAGAGGCTTGAAGTTTCTGTAACAGTGGTGATTACTTTTACGAGATGGGATTGTAAGCCTCATGTCCAACCTTCCCTCTTTACCAGTCTTATTAATCTCTTAGCGGGATAAAGGAGTGTGTCGGCCGGGGATCGAACCCCTAACCACATGTGTGGTTGGCAAGCAGTCCATTGCTGTGCCACGATGGCATACAGAGTACTGATTAAAATGAGATGTTAGAAACTACTCACATCAATCAGCACCGCTCCCACTGGTGGCAGTCAGATCAAAGTGATCCAAACATCGATCATTTTCAGCTACACTGATAAGCGGTGTAACCGGTCTGGCTCACCTCAGATAGTCGAATCAGTTTAAGTCACCTACATAAGTGATATTCATAAAATAGCTACTGAAACACTAATCCTAAATACTTTTTTCCGATAACATTCACAACTGAACCAATTAAACTTGATGGAAATGATTAGCCCAGTATTCTTAGGCCCAAGTTTAATAATACTATCCCTTACAAGTCTTTGATTCTTGCTTTGAGAAAGACACCAATTTAGAATTCATGGTCTGGCCATTGAATCGGGTCCCAGTGGCTAAATGCTATACGAGCTAGCTTGACTTGTAACCGGAAGGGGGCCTGGGTTCGACCCCCAGCGGTGGGTGCGTACTGCCGATGATTCCCAAACTAGACGGATGAAACAGCTGTCTGGTAAATACTCCAATGTCGGTTTTCAATGGTTCTCTAACTGATACCAACTTTTTACAAACCAACTATAGACAAAAGAAATGAAAAGTTTTCAAAGGTTAAAGAAGTGAAAGAAAACTAATACAAAACAATTATATACTGTCACATTAGATCATACTAACAACCCGACAACTAGCTAGAACATGACAACATAATTACAGCATAGTGAAGTCTAAATTTGCCTTGAGGTCAAATTTTATCAAATCTGATACAAGTCTCTCCAAATTCATGTAGATTATCAAACACGCATGAGACATGCTGTAATAAGTATGAGAAAGAATTTACAAAAACTTGATGTTAATCACTCTCCCTCATGTATAGAAAAGAATGACTAAGCTATACATAACACAGATGTATGTATACACACACGCATGCACACTTTCAAACACGCGCAGCCTAAGCGCGATTGGTGAAATTGGTACATGACACATGAAATACCAGAACCAGAACAACAACGACCCATGTGTCTGGGCTGCCTGCATCGGCAACAACAAAAACTCAGATACACCACACACACACACACACGTGAATGAATCAAATGTAAATAAAAAGTTATACACACAATCGATAT